AACAAACCAAAACAAAAAAAATCTGAGACACAAGCGAAAATCCGAGGCGTCGCAGGCGGCGTCGAGCCAAGCAAGGATGGCAGCAGAAGGACGAGGCGCTTGGCGCAGCCCGTGAAACCACGGAGCAGAAGCCCAACCAGCGCGAGGGTGACGGTGTCCACCACCCGTGGCACGGGGACAGCCCCCGGCCCCCGCGCCGCCTCCCCGGGGAAACCCGGCAAAGCCTCAAGCACCACAAACCCGGGCTCTCGCAGCTCAGGGTCACCCCATCAACTTCAACACGGCGGTAACGAAAAGCAAATCATAACCCAAGAAACACACCGAAAAAACACATTAAACCCAACGCTTTCAGCCCACAGGATTGTTTTGCTTTTCGCTCTCCTTCCCAGCACAGTTGGCGTTACAGGATGAGCTCAGAGCTGGTCTTCGCAAACTTCGAGTTGGTACAGAAATAGCACCCCAGGGCTTAGCAGCGGACCAGAGCTGCCCTTCGCGTGGCTCGACCCTTGCACGCCGCCAGCTTGGCGAGTCAGTTTGCAGCTCGCTGCTCAGCCTGGCGAGAACACGCTCTCGGGAAACCCCAGCCGCAGCGCTCTGGGAGCCACGGGCACAGCAGCAAGCCAGGATCCACAGAGCCTCCCCGCTGACCTTCAAGTTTTCTTTAGCCCTGGGGAACTGCTTAGCATCCGCAAGCAACCCAACAGCCCAGGGGAACCGGCTGCTGGGTTGGGGTTTGGAAGCGATGCACCAAATCCCGTACGGGGCCAACCGGCACAGGCCCTCGGCCGTAGCAGGTCTGCATCAATTTATAGCCAGGGAGGAGACTCCAGCTCATGGGACTGGGGCTAAGAAGCATCTTCCTTTACCCCAATCTTAAAGACGTCAAGTTGAGCCTCCGTTAGAAGGCAACACTTGCCGAAGAACACAGTTTGCCATCTTCCCTGAGGCTGCTTTGCAGCTATGCTGTTCCGGAGCTTTGAAGTCTCCCGCTTTTTCAGCTTCGTGTATCTTTGACTGGGGAACGTACATCCAAAAAAAAAAAAAAACAAACCCCAAAAAACCCCATGAGGTCCTCAACTTGCAAGTTCTGGAGAGGAAGCTTTTTCAAAAGGTCACCATCCCTCCCCGCTCAGCCCAGAGGCACGATGTACTGAAAGATGCTGCTGGGCAGTGAAGATGCCCTGCTGAAGGGCTGGGCCCTTTTCCTCCTCTCCAGCTGTGCAAAACTTCAGGGCAACATTAAAACAAGCCCTCAGGAGACCAGACCAGCTACTAAGGGATGGTTATGAGGAAAGTAAGGCAGAAGAATCAAAGCAGCCCTCCGATTTCGCCGTGTGGCCCCTAAGCGGGCTCGCTGCAGCTCAGCAACGACGTCTTGTGACAGAAACGTCAACTTTATTTCCTTTTGCTCTTAAAGCACCTTCGGTGTCAGCCCGAACAAGCCAGCAGTGATTCAGGACACGCTAGCCCACGACTGAGGACATTCACCGGGCTGTGAGCCCTTGTTGCCACGCTGGTCAGGGCCAGCACCGACCCCACGGGCAGCCCTGAGGCCACAGCACTTGGCGCCCAGCTCTCATCCTGCACCATGGGCGGCCTGGGGAGCTGCGCGAACGGGGACGCTCGTGATCGGCACGACGGGCATTCCCTTCCGGCCGCCGCTTTATTTGCGTTGCTCTCTTCTCCGCTCGAGGTCCAGCTGTGGCCAAGGGAAGACCTGGCCCAGAGCAAAGCCGAGGAACGCCTCCAGCTCCTCGCTATTTTGATTTCAGCCAAGCAATGCTCTTCTCTTTACCAAGCCCGAGCGCAGGCTTTGCGCTACGCAGCCAGAAGGGAATGACAATTAGGCCTCTCGGGACTGCAAAGACAGCCAGGCTTCAGCTCGAGCAGAGCCCCAGAAGGGAGCTGCAGTCTGCAGACCCTTCTGATGTGCTCTGCAGTAAGGAGGTGGATGGTTTTCATAAGCAGCAGGGGAAAAAAAAAAAAAACAGCAGAGTCCACCATCCATCCATCCCACAGAACACGGAGCGTATTTCAGCGTAACCGAGCAGCACCCTCCAAGCCAAGGGAGGGGCAGAAGAGGAGGTGACTCTGCTCTTCACATCGCTCTGGGTCATACACGGAAGGACGAGTCCCACAAGATGATTCTCTTTTCTTTTCCCACCCCACCAAACAAAAATAATGAGCTAGACAAACAAATGGCTTCAAATAAAAACACTGGTAGCCCTGGAGGGAAGAGTGACTGACAAACTTCACAGCCCATCTTAGATCTCGAAGAACACCCAAGATGAGCCAGAGCCTGTGACCTGCTGTTCTGCTCCTGTCGTTTCCTTGGCTTAGCCTAGAAAAGCACCACGAGTTTTGGGAGAAGCTGCAAAAGGAAAAAACCCTGCCTAAAAAAAAAAAAAGTCCCAAAAGGGAAACCCTGCCACTCCATCCCCTCCGCCTGCCTTTCAGACCACAAGGTAGGGACCTCGTAGGGCCAGCTCCAGCTGTAACTCAAAGCTCAGCATTTCTCCCTGCTGTGCTACAAGGCTGCACGCTGCAAAGGAACTGAAATTGGAATACAAATGAACCCCCTGGGACTTGTGCTGGTTTTGTTTTTTTTTTTTAGTTTTTACCTGAAAACACGGAACATCCTGCCACTCCAGTACAATGCATCATGCTAGGAAGCGTGCACAGATTGGAGTATGTTACTCGTCTTTCCATATTACGCCCCTTTTTGTAGCAGCTTCTGGCTGGCCCACGTGAAAAAACACGCAAACATAGAAGACTAGTGGTTTTTTTACTTGCATAGCTGCTGTTAGTTCATGTGGATGGAGACATCCGTTTCTTGCGTACATTGACACAGATGAACTACAAAGAGGCCGCTCAGCCTATCTCCCGCCGCTCCGCTGTCCTGGGAGCAACCCGTTTCTTCATTTTCAAGCATCGGCGTGTGACAGGACGTCAGACACGGGTTGCTTGAGATGCTGTCAGGATGGAAGTCCGAAAGGTCCCTCAACAGGTCACATGGGGAATCAGCTCTGCCAGCATCCGTCCAGGTAGCGTCATCCCTTCTTTTTGGGATGCTAAAAGCACTGAACGGTTTGTGAGCTCGGTCCTGGGCAGTGGCGGTCGCTGCGTTGCCTTTGTCTGCCCTGGAGGGACGTGAGGAGGGGGGATACAAACGCTCAAAGTTCTGCCACCCTCTCGAGCATGGCATAGCAGCAGTGGTGTGTTGGAACAACCAGCAGAAGAGATAATGGCTTTGAGATCCTCCTTCCTCCTCCACACCTCATTGCAAGATTTAGAAGAGAAAATGGAGGGGGGGGTGGGGGGAGGGGAAGGAAAAAAAAGAAAAAGAAGAGGCGACATTGGGTCCTTCGGAGATGTCTGCTCCATCCCAGGGTCACAGCACTCAAGCCAAGCAGTTGAGCCTTATCAGTGTTTGAATCCCACACAGCTCTTCTCTCTCTTCCAGCAGCTCCGCTGGATTCCACTCCTTTTCTCCGAGGTCTAATGCTGGAAGCAAAGTGGGAGGGACTGGGGAAGGAGGAACAGAGTCCTTTTCCCCTCTCTCAAGCAGCCTGGCCAATGTCTTGTTGCTCATGAAGCATGCAGCTTGTAAGGAGAGCAAGGATGTGCACCAAGCCCATCGGGGCACTTCAGACTGCTCTCTCCTTGCAGGCCAACATCCCTTTGCACTGAGCCCGCTCCATGGGGGACAGGGAAAGGAAATAAATATGCTTGTTCAAAGAAAAAAAAAAAAAAAATTATATTAACAGCTTTCCCCCCCCCCCTTTAAATAGCATAATTGTTTCCTTTTCTCTCTGACATTGGAAGAGTATCCAGAACCCCAAAGGAACTCCACTTTTTCCTTTAACATTATTTATATATATAAAAGCTAAGAATTAAAAGGAAAAAACCCTTGAAAAATAATTAATTCAAAGGAGGAGGGGGGGAAAAAAAAAAAAAAAAAAAAGAGACTATCTGCTTTCCTGTCACCAGATTGCCAAACAAGAGCTAAACGCTCTTTGGATCTTCTTTCCCAAGCTAGGAGGGCTCCATTTCTGCCGCGCTGGTTTGGTTTCATTTAAGTCAAGTCCACGCTTTAGAAGCCGCCTGCCCATTTCAGATGACCAAGCAAGTTTTGGGGAGGAATGGGGGGGGGGGAGGAATGAATGACTGCCCATCTCTCGCCCATCTCTGCCGACTGGGAGAAGGGCAGAGCTCTGCCTCGGCCATGCCGAGGTGCCTCTCTCTTCTCAGAGCAGTTGGCGCCGTCGGAGATGTACAGCCGTCTGGTTGGGATACAGGTGGAGGGTGTCTGTGTGCGTGCCCAAATTGGATTTTTTTTTTTTTTAAATTTTTTTTTTCCTGGTTTTTGGTAGATATTTTTCTTATTGTTGCTGCTGCTGCTTCTTCGTGTCTAAGTGTCGTCCGGATTTTTGTTTCCTTCGTTCAGACGCTGCACGTTCCGAGAGGGGGAGAGAAAGGTACACCAACCCGATGCCTTTCTGAACATCAGCCCATCTCTTTCCACTGCTTGTAGAACTCCAGAACATTTTTTATTTCTACGCTGGCATTGGCGGCTGCCTGGATGGCAGACTGCAGGCAGAGAGAGACAAAACAGGTTATTTGTTTTTTTCTTGCCCTGTCAAGAGGACTGCCCTTCACAACTTGGAGAGTCTCAGGCAGAGTTTGTCATGGCTAAAAGGCCCAATTCTCCTTCATGCTAAAGTTGCTCTGGCATGAGAGGCCTGCACAGACATGCAAATTACTTCTCCTACCTCCCCCAGGATAGTCTGTACCACAAAACCATGACAAATCAAGGGGCCTTCAAGGAAATAGGAACCACAACTTATAAACTAAATTTGGGAAATCCAGGACAGTTATTACCCAAGGCAGAAAACATTAAAAAAACCCCCAAAAATCTCTTGCCAATCAACCAGATTTTATTCTTGCTAGGAAGCAGAAAGGCTCAGCTCAGCCAGCCGAAGAGCTACTGACCTGCATGGGTGCTGAGAACGTGCTTGGGTCCTCCAGCTGGAAGCCCGTGATGATGGTGACCATTCCTGTGGTGTCGTCCTCTCCGCTTCCTTGGGACACCGTCAGTTGTTTACAGCTGTCCAGTATTTTATAGAGATTCCTGCCAGACAGAAAAGGGAAATACGGGAAAGTCAGAGGGAAGACCACTTGTCTGTGCAAACATTTTCACACATGCTCAGGGGGACATGTGGAAAGCAGGACTGTTTCTCTGTTGCCTGCTGAGGGCTTTTCCAAGACCCTTCTTAGCACCAAGTGTTTGGTGCTACGCGAGACGCACAGATGGATGCCCTAACACTCTCTCCAGGGAATTTTATAATTACTCACACAGACCACCAAATCAAGCAAGCTGCATGATGGGTCCCAGGGCTAACACCTCTCCCCAAAGCCACCTGCCTGCTGGGAATTGGGCTCAGACATCTGTAATCTTACCAGGCATCTAAATCTTGTCTCTTCAATTTATGCCTCTCAAAGCTCTTCCCAACATCTTTCTGGCAACGAATGTACCTAAGGAAAGATCAGAGTCACTGAGCTCACACGGAGACCATCACACAGACTGAAGTCAATGCTCTACTCTGCTGTAGCAGGTCCATCAGTTGGTGCAGGACACTTTTGGAACGCCGGCTTTTATCAACCAAAATAACACCCAAAGGCCTGCCCAAGGAATCCCCTGTGAAGTCCCTTAGATCACCTCCCCTCTCGCATCACCATCGCTGTGTGCAGTTCACAATAAGACAAGTGCTTCCAAGCCCACCAGCCCTGGCACAGGCCTTGAAGACGCAGTTTGTCTTCACAGAAGCACAGCTGTTTGTCCTTCTGCAGCCAACCTGGGCAATAATGCAGTACAGCTCTTCCAGCACTCCCAGTGCATCAGCAAAAGGCACCGCTCAGTTTTGTACACTGATAAAGAGATACAACTCCCTCCATTCCTCAGAAGCAGCTACACTTCATGGCCGAGCAGCAACTACAAGCGCATCTGGAGAACCAGCTGCCAGATCTGTTTCTTCACCACCTTCCCCCTCGCCAAGTGCATTCCTGAGGCCTGGCTTTCCCTTGGCCCACTCCTTGCTCTGCTCCAAGGAATGCACAGGCTGCTCCCACCATTGACATCTTCTTCCACCCCAAAACACACCCATTCCAAAAGCAAAGACAAATCACATCGCTCTCCCACTCTCACCTGTTTCCCTTTTTAAATTCTGCCTCCAGATACCGGATGCTGTCCCGAGCACCTGCGTTCTCCTTTTTCAGGAAGTCTAAGCCATCAATCACTAACAGGGGAAAAAAAAACAAGAAGCAAAAACATCTGGCTTACAGCTATACTTCTGCAAACTAATCCAGATGTGTCAAGAATTCCTCATCCCACTGAACTGTCTCTGATGCACAGCAGCAGTGGCTGCCACAGGAGGCAGACGAAGCGGAGGGTGAATGGGGCCTCTCTCTTTCCAGCTGTTCTTCGATACACTGTGTTAGATTCCAAGCACGGGCCACACATAAAACAGGCCCCAAAAGCGACATGTGGAAACGGTGTTTCGGCTGCTCCAGCTGAAGTAAAGGACAACAGCAGCAGGAGAGAAAGCCACCACCTTGGCCCACAGGGCTTGCTTGCCAGCAAGGAGGGAATGAAGGGAAGGCAGGCGCAGTTATTTGACGTGGAGTCCCCATACCTGTTCGAGGGATGATGATTATGAACCTCCCACTGGTGGCCAGCTGCTTGACAACAGCCAGGTGCTGGCAGAGGGCCTGGGTGTCCGGGACAAGATAAGGAGACATGGCTGACTGCGCTTTGGGCTGCTGGAGACTGCCCTCCAGCTGAGAAACCTCCAGCTGAAAAAAAAACACACATGCAGAGACACTTGCTTCACATTTATGCTGAAAGAAACGATCAAACAGGGCAAGACTCACCCTGCAAAGCTCCCTCAGGCCCTTCCAACCTCCCAGCACATGGAGCAGAGGGCTGGATGCAGCCAGTGGGTCTGAGGGAGGTGATTGTCCCACTCTACACTGCACTGGTGCAGCCCCACCTCGAGTGCTGTGTGCAGTTTTGGGCACCTCAATGTAAAAAGGACATCAAACTGTTCGAGTGTGTCCAGAGGAGGGCAACCAAGATGGTGAAAGGTCTCGAGGGTAAGACTTATGAGGAGCAGCTGAGGTCACTTGGCTCGTTCAGCTTGGAGAAGAGAAGGCTGAGGGGAGACCTCATAGCTGATGAGAGACCTCATCGCAGTCTACACCTCCTCAAGGGGGGCAGCGGAGAGGGAGGTGCTGATCTCCTCTCTCTGGTGACCAGCGACAGGATACAAGGAAATGGGATGAAGCTGCGTCAGGGAAAAGTTCAGGCTGGAAATTAGGAAAAGGTTCTTCACCAAGAGGGTGGTCGGTCACTGGAACAGGCTCCCCAGGGAAGTGGTCACGGCACCAAGCCTGTCAGAGTTCAAGGAGCATCTGGACAATACTCTGAGGCATACGGTTTAGTTTTAGGTAGCCCTGCGAGGAGCAGGGAGTTGGACTCAATGATCCTTATGGGTCCCTTCCAACTCGAGATATTCTATGATTGTCTTTGCAGTACAGACTTACTGCCTCCATATGGGATGGGAGCAGAGAGTTCCCCGCTTCCATTCCCAGTTTCAGACATTTCAGCCACTACCCTGCCAGTTTTCAGGCCGGAACCAGCATCTCCTACCTGCAGTCGAAGCTGAGCCATATCTCTCATTAGCCTGTTCCGACGAGCTTCCTCTGCAGCCTAGTTACAAAAACAAACTTCCTTATCAGTTAGCAGGAAACACACAAGCAGACATTAGCATGTGCTTCCAGAAACAGGGTGAAAAGGGGACACCTGAGTAGCTTTAAGGAGCAAAACTTTCACCTCCCACCAAAGATCTGTGGTTATAGTTACAGCCCAATAGTAATCTACAGGAAATTGTACCAAGTACAGGGAACTATCCCGCCTCTGCCAACTCACCATGTGAAACTGGGCTTGGGCCTGGTGCAGCAAGTTGTCTTGCTCTGACTGTGCTATGCTGATGAAGATCCCAAGCTCCGAGTTGAACTGCAGGATGCTGCCTTGCAAGTGGGTAATGAAGTGGCCAAAGCTCCGAATGCAGCAAATCCGAACAACAGACTGCAAAGAAGCAGACAGGCAATCACCAGCCACATCTCCCCATGGGGGTTGTAGCCTGAGCCAGCTCCAACCCTGCAGCTCACGCTTTTGGAAAACACAGAAACTGCTATTAAAAAAAAAAAAAAATTCCAAAGGAAACATTTCTGATGGAAATGTGCTTCTGAAGACAGAGACTGCAGGAGAGGGCTGCAGGAAAGCCTACAGTTGGCCAGAAAGCTTAGAAGTGCTTGCAGTCTGGGCTTCCCCAACTCCAGAAAACCTCAGAAACCACCACCAGGCTCTCCCCCATAAATCTCTGCTCGAGCCCTCCGTGCTGGGAAAAGGAATCAAATAAAACAAGCAGCTATATCCAATCTTGGGGCAGGCACTACTCTTGGCTGGGCTGCTGAGCAAAGGCAGCGAAAGGTGAGCTCACGTGGGATGCGAGATCGCTGCACTTTATTCCAGCTGCCCTGGCAGCTTGAGATGACATTCAAGACCTCAGCTCGCTGGACTGTGATTTAACAAACATGGGGTCCCACGTCACGCATCAGCATGGTGCCCTCAAATCGAGGCAGAAGATGTTAACGTATTCCCCACTCTGAAGGAATCAGATTGGTCTAGCAAGGCAGGACAGGAGAAGAGTAACTGCCTTTGCAGACCTCCACTACCCAGAAACGATCACCTTGGCCCTTTGTGCTCGGGAAAACAGACAGAAGTGCTCTACGAGGCCACAGAGTGCCACATGAAGTGAGATTGCACCGGCTTGCATTTACTAGAGAAAGATCACAGGAAATATCCTGCAGCTCCAACCAAATTGGTTTCATTCAAGGCAGGGCAGAAGTAACAACTCTTCTGCCCAGAGAGGGAGATCAGGAGACTTCACGCAGCAAACCTGTCAACATGTGACGGTGCTTCCTTTCGTAATGACTCTGACAGGGAAGGGAAGGCAAGGCAATTTTTTGAACGCTGATTTTTGGATAGTCGGATGACCGCAGCAACTATCAGTAACATGAACCCATCTCAGATGCAAAAGTTTGAATCAGTTTGGGGGCTTTTTTGGCAAGAATGAACTAGATCTTCATCTGCACAGATAAAACAGGCTGCACCTCCAGAAAGGGAAATGCAGCTTGTGCCAAGATTCAGGATTTACCAACTCACCTCCTCAACTGCTGAGAAAATGGGTCGGTCCTGCTCAAAGTTAAACCTCTTGTGTGCATTTTTCAGAGGGGGAAGATTTCGCAGGGCCACATCTTCTGGGAGCAGCAAGTTGGCTTTCAGGTCTGGGAGCTCAGCGCCACTCAGAACATCCTTGACTTCGTTACATAGGGCCAGCCCTGGAGAGGATGGAGGGGAAGCACAGCGATACATGGTGACTTAACTGATGTGGGGACAAAGAGGAAAACTGCTTTAAGGCACGCAATCTGTAACAATCAAGGGCAGAGGTTTTAAATTACACGTGTACTGTCTGCATGTGTTGAAGGAGGAACAAAAAGGCCACCCGCAATATAAAGAGTAACTGTCCCAAACGACCTGCTGAGGCGCACCACTTCAGAGAAAACGTAGTTTAGAGGATTAGCTTTCCCATTCGTTCCAACAGGCAAGCATTCCCGTTTAAACTATGCTTCTCATGAACCATTGGGATCTTTAGGCTGAGGTACAGGGCACGTCATGAGCATTTGGAGCTTCAAAACTAGTTTCCACGATTGCCGTGACAAAATCATACCCTTACTTGTGGTCTTGACAGTTAATTCCAGTCATGTTGGCCACACAAGGACTGCACGCACACAGGTGCGAGTGTTTCAGTATACTGTCAGCCATAGATAATACATTAATAGAGCTAAAGTCCACGGGACAGCATCTCACTGGAACGGTGTTGAAACACAAAAACAACACACGCATGATGTCGCTTCCCACTGTGCTTATAGGCAAACGGCTACTGGCAAATCTCTCACCCCGGGATCTCTCACACACACCATGGCAATCACTCATGACTAGGCTTGCTGAAACATTACATTGCCACTTCCTTCTCCAGTACCTGATTCCTGCAGGTCTGCAGCAGAAGGCAGAAGGTTGAGGAGCACAGACAGCCTGTTCCACAGGCTCTGAGAGCTCTACAGGAACAAAACACAAAAGGACAAAGAAAACGTCGAGACAGATGTACACAATAACCAGGCCGCTTGGGCATTCCAGCATCTTTCACAGACCTCAGAATGCTTTATGAAGAATAAACTTCACTACACTTCTTAGGTCAAGATTATCTTAATTCAGCTGGTGGGGTATTTAACACCACCTTCTGTCCAGGACTGGGACAGTAGCTTCAATACGCCCTTGGCATCCCAGTCCAGGGGAACTGAACAGATGCAGCCTTGGACCGAACACCGAGCACAGCTCCCACCTGAGCACACATGATGATGAGGTCCGTGTTTGTCCTCAGCCAGTCCAGGAACACCTTGACAGTGAGAAGCAGCCCTTCGTTGGTCACGATCTCTAGCTTCTCCTGAAGGGACCGCTCATTCCTGCAGGATTTGTTACTTGAAATGCTTTCCTCAGAGTCAGACACATCATCTGGAAAATGAAGGGAAAAGCAGGGTGGCCGGCATTAAACCCCTTGAGAAGCCAAGCCCTACTGGTATGAGAACAATGCTAGTAAGAGTTGAGTTGAACTTCCCAGTGCCTCCACACATCCTCACAAAACCAGCTCCCCGGCCCCTGTGCTGTTGCTAAGAGAGTATCACTGTTGCATTTTCCACTTCGTTGGGAGAAGATTGCTAAAATCTCCCTGTGAAAGTTTGACAACTGCCTTAACTCCTGCAGCAGCCTCCTCGACGCTCACTAACAGAGCAGGGGGAAGCAGCATGTGCCGGCACAAGGACCGGATCGTTTACCGCAGAGAACGGAGCCAGCGAGCACTGTTTAGGTCAACATGCACCAACCTTCAGGCTATGCAAGAGAAGAAAATGGTAGGGCTATTTTATCAGCCAGGGCCCAGGTGATTTTAAACATTGAATACGCTTTGCAATCTTGTAATTCTACAGACCTGAGGATCTCAAAGCCGCTGCCAATGAAATTGCACGCTAGCTACATGAGCGACCGGAGGTCAAGGTAGCAGCAAGCTGGGAATCAACAATGCATTCTGCTACAGTCCCTTATTTTAACTGCACAGTCATTTCTGCCTATTAGCACAGCACTTATCATTCAATAAACCCTCAGATTCAAAAGAGAGGAAGTAATTTATTCAGAAACCATCCCCGATAGAGTGTGGAGACCATTAAATAGCTCAAGTTTTGAAACAGCACAGCTGAGGCAAGGAGAGCTGAAAGCTAAAAAGCACATGGGTTAATTCAGTCAACCTCTCGTTTTCTACATCTATAAAAGTATCATGGCCACACTATTCAAATACATTCCTGGAGCTGCAACATCTGTGTAACCCATTGAAGAAAAATGTTACACAGACCAAAAATCGTTTGTTCCTTCCTTTCCCCCCCATCTCTTTCAAGTGGCTATGAAGCAATGCCGGGAGCCAGTCAACATGAACATGATCTAATACTCCCCCTTCAAATCCTGGCCCAGGCGTAGCCCGAATCTTGCCAGTGCTGCAGGCCCATTGAATTTGGCAGCGCGATGTAAAAATGTTTCCTTGCTCCAGGGAAGCTGGGAGGAATGACAAACAAGACCGAACAGGCCCATGCGGTTTTATCTGAAATACAAACAACTCCCTATAGTGCATCTGATCTCCCTTTCAAGCTGGTTTTTCCCAGAACATTACTCAGTTGTGTAAGTTGCGTGGTAATAGAGACATTGCAGCTCCACCTGCTGTGCGTCTGCAGTTTGGTTCAGCCCCGAGCACTCAGCGAGGCAGCATTCAGAGGGTCGCAGAAGAGGCCCTCAACTCCTCCCGCACGCACCTAGGTCACATCTTACAGACAAGCTCCTGTGAGAGCTTTGCAGAGTTGATAATCCGACATCTCATGGAGAACTTCCTGGAATGCATCTGCACCGTCCACCACCAGAAGCGCTAGGAAGTGTCTGATTACAGACATTTCACATAGGGAAGAAGGAAGACAATCCAAATTTTTAATACCTGCCGGAATTATCCTCTGTATTATCAGAGCTGCTCAGCATTTAGGCTGTTGAGCAGAACAACAGATAACCCTGGCTGGCTGCAGGTGTTTCCTTTGTTCCGTGCACGTATTCCTGGATGTCAGGCAGTAAGAGTAAAGCTCCTCCGTCAGGAAACACCCAACCCAAGACCTGCCCAGTACTTGGGCAACCTGCTCCTCCAAACCTGGCCAAAGGAGAACTTGCACCATGAGAAGGGGTGGATTTTAGCAAACAGACTGCTACAGCTTGCAGTTTTCCACACAGAACTGCAACAACGAATATTTCAAAGGTCACTGATTCTTACCTTGCTCTGCCAAGCTGGGCTTCTCCAGATCTCCATTGACACATGGCTTGCTTTCTATGCCATCCTTCAAGAGAGGTGGTTCACTGTTCGGTTTCAGAAGGATGTTGCTGAAAGTGGGAGCCAAGCGAAAGCAGCGTTTGGTCTGAAACAGCTGGGTGGACATGGCCTGGAGATTACTGGCTATGCTTGCATCATTTGTGCTCAGGGAAGCTGGCCCATTGACCGCTGGATCCGGAGCCTCAATTTTAGAGATGCTTGCGCTCTTGGAGTCCCCCAGCCCACTACCATCCACACAGTTTTTTAAGGCCTCTTTGGGCCCGCTTTTGCTTCGGCCGCTTCCCTCCTCACCCGGCTCATCCTCCATGTCCTCCAAGTCGGACCGAGATTCTTGGCTGTTCATGTCAGAGTCCGTCTCCACATCAAAAGCAGCTTCTGCTTCCTCGTCACTCTTCTCTGAGCCACTTTCTGAGCCATCGCTGCCCTTTGTGGAGCCCTGGCTAGAGTCAGAGTCAAAGCCCTCGCTCAGGTCACTCTCATCCACCTTCTGGGGGTGGCGGCGGCGGCGCAAACAGGAGAGGCGGGAGTATTTCTTGCTTTTCTTGCAGTCATTTTTCCGTTGTTCCTCGCTGGGCTGGTGATTGGCCAAGTCAGCTTCAGCTTCCTTCTCAATCGAGTTCAATGGCTCCCGTGGCTCCTGGTCATCTGCAGGCATTTAAAATGAGACCACAAGTTAAGAACGTCCCGATGTGTCACACAAGCTGCTTGCCAGCCCTGAGCCTGGGGAACCAGTGTGCAAATTTCAGCCATCGCTTCTATTAGCATCTTTAGCCAGAGAACAAGTAATGGCAACCCGAGAAGAATGACTCGCTTTCTAAAAGGCACCCAGAAAGACTTGGGAATCCTGGATTCCTACTGCCCAAGCTGTGCTCCTCCGTTATCGGGCAGCCTCAGTGCTGAATGCTGCCAGACCAGTACAAAATACCCAGCTGAATCTTAAATCTGTTCCCCAGCTTTCTACAGGCTGAGAGCCAAGTGAACCACCAAGCAGGGCAAGGGCATGTGCCAGTCAGCTGGATTAAACGAGCCACTCCACCCTGTAACCAGACTGCACTGACCTAATCCCTTCCTTGACCAACAAGTTCACAGCCTTTCCAGCAGCCCCACGTCACCCTGACAGATTCAAAATCCATGCAGGAGAGGAGTCATTAATTGTTGCTTTTGACCAGGAAAACTCTAGCCTTGTGTTCTGTGAAATATCACAAACCAACTGTTTGCAGGGGAAAGATTCAGCAGTTTTATTCTCTGCTCAGCAGGATCCCCTGGAAACTAAAGATCTATTTTTGTCTGAGCAGAGATGAGGTTGTGCTGAGCAGGGCCTGCCTCCCTTAGACACACACCTCTGCCCAGGTGTTTCGCCTGAGATCATCTCCTCAGCGGAGGAGAAAAGAGTCCAGTGAATAACAGTAAATAGAGAGAAAATAAGGAGCACAGATTGGGGTAAACAGATGATGAATGAGCTGCCAAGAGCTAACTCCTTACAAGAAGGAAAGCAACATTTTCATTCTGTGATGATTCTGAAACTCACAGAGAGCGTCTAAGTGGAGACTGTCTCAGCAGATTACCCATCTTTGGGGATTTCAGCCCAGCAGTCGAAGACCAAGACGTCTCCAACACCACTCAGGCACTACACTACAAAACTCATGCCCAGAAGATTTAGGAAAGAAAAGTAAAAGCCAGCCCCACAGGCAGGCAACTGGGGAGACCCAGCTTATACTGTCTCTGTTCTCTTACCTGTGCCATCACTCTGAAAGGCTGGGACCGGATTTTCCCCTTCTTCTAGCTCTGCCTGCAGGCGAATATTGACGTGATTTATCAGGTGAGAGAAGAGGGCCAGCGTGAACGCGATGGCTGCACTATACTGCTTTGAACCTGCAACAAGACAGCGTAATGAGGTGGAGGAGGCTGACACAAGTCCAAAACGTGAATGCCAATTAAGACAACATCTTCAGCCTAACTGGACTGTTGAATGTTAATCACTAAATTTCTGGATGGCCAAATAAAGCACTGGTTACCTGCCCTCTTGAGGCTGTGAACGCTCATAAGGCAGATGATCACCATGCGAAAGATCAGGAGATCAGGAAGGAAGGAGTAGCCGCTCTCATACTCTTCTTCATCTTCACTAGTTGAGCTCAGATTAGGAGGAGAGGGCAGGTAGAACAAGCACAGGTTGAAATCCTCCAGCACAGACTGGCAGAGAGATGTCAGCTCAGAATCCAGAGAGCTTAACAAGAGGAAAAAATAAACAAGAATTATTATTCAAGACTCAAGCTCCTGGCAATGTCTGCGTGGAAACTGAACCAAAACGGGCAGTTCGGCTATCCTTTAGCACTAGACAGGACGAAGCACCAGGGAATATACTGCACGCAACAACAGCTATGGGAAGCAAGTGAGACGAATCAGATTATGTTTTCCTCTCCAAAGCTGCTAAACTAAAGACAAACGGTAACTAGAGCACCTCCCTGCGAAGAGATGAGTCACCAAAAAATACATGACTTTTTTCCTGGGAGCTCAGGCAGTAGCCATTAAGATACACAGGGCACTTCGGTGCTAAAGGTAGCAAAAGTTTCGGATCCGCTGCTCAGTTAAAGGATCACATTGCAGCGCACAAACTGGGGACTCAACTTTTCCTCCTCCCATGGCTCTAACTTGCAGCCCTGTATGAATATTCCAAACTCCTCTGTAGCTGTTAGCTGCTTCAAAGGAAGCACCCACAGTATTCAGTGTAATGGGCTATGGGAGTCTCCTAGTTCCAAAATAAACCCATCTGCAAAACATCTAGCAAATCCTTTTCAGGGGGCAACATGCTTGGGAAAATGAAGTAATTTCCAATTTTCTTCTGCACTAAATATGTGTTAAGCGGATATTAAACAAGCCTTGAAGTTCCAGTCTGGTACAAGTCAATATCTGAAAGTTAATCCCATACTGGGCTGCATTAGCAAGGGCACAGGCAGCAGGTTGAGGAAAATATCCCTATTTGGCACTGACAAGATGGCATTTGGAGTACTGCATCCAGTCTTGGGGTCAGCAGTACAAAAAAACCCAACCGAAAAAAAAAAAAGACACTCACAAACTGGACTTAGTCCCGCAGAAGACTGCCAAGGGGAACAGAGAGCATGATGTATGAGAAGAGGCAAAGAGAATTGAGTTTGTTCAGCCTGAAAGAGAGAACACTTGGGGGGGGATAATATTGTTTTCAGATGCCAAATAGGTGGTTACAGAGGACTAAGACTCTTCCCAATGGTGCACAGCAAAAGGAAGGGAAGCAATGGGTACAAGCTGCAGAAAAGCAAAATGAGACTAGATGCAAGGGAAAAACAAAAAATTCCAGTGTGAAAGTGGTCAAACACTGGAAGGGGACCAGAGAGGTGTGGAATCTCTGTCCTTAGGTCCATTCAAAACTCAGCTGGATGAGGCTCTGAGCAACGTCATCTGACTTCACATTTGAATCTACGTTCACAGTGGACCCTACTCTGGGGAGGACTGGGCCCCTAGAAGGTCCCTTCCAACCCAAACTATTCCATGACGAGTTTAACTGTAGCCTGTGTAAAAACCCTTTAAAACACCTGCTTTATTTCAAGCAGTAAGAGGTTAATTTACAATCACCTGAAAACCTCCCAGCAGAGACAGAGAAAAATCCAA